CATCAAGGCTGTCTCCAAGTCTCCCTTCTTGGACGCTCTCCGCGAGAAGGGCTTCGAGGTTCTTTTCCTCGTTGACCCCATTGATGAGTACGCCATGACTCAGCTCAAGGAGTTCGAGGGCAAGAAGCTTGTCGACATCACCAAGGACTTCGAGCTCGAGGAGACCGAGGATGAGAAGAAGGCCCGTGAGGCTGAGGAGAAGGAGTACGAGAGCCTCGCCAAGGCCCTCAAGAACGTTCTCGGCGACAAGGTCGAGAAGGTTGTCGTCTCTCACAAGCTCGGCACCTCTCCATGCGCTATCCGAACTGGCCAGTTCGGTTGGTCCGCTAACATGGAGCGTATCATGAAGGCTCAGGCTCTCCGTGACACCTCCATGTCCAGCTACATGTCTTCCAAGAAGACCTTCGAGATCTCCCCCAAGTCTCCTATCGTCCAGGAGCTCAAGAAGAAGGTCGAGACTGACGGCGAGAACGACCGCACTGTCAAGTCCATCGTCCAGCTTCTCTTCGAGACCTCTCTCCTTGTCTCTGGCTTCACCATTGACGAGCCCGCTGGCTTCGCCGACCGCATCCACAAGCTTGTCCAGCTCGGCCTCAACATTGAGGAGGATGACTCTGCCCCTGCTGAGGCTGATGCCACCACCGATGCCCCTGCCGCCGCCACTGGTGACAGCGCCATGGAGGAGGTTGACTAAATGACCACGCACGCTAAACGGGATACCATAAAAAGTCAATGGAGTTGAAGGGTTTCGGTTTTTATGAGCAACAAGGTCTTTTTTCTGTCTTCTGGTTTTTATGCGGGCTTATCGGATTTGAGCAGCCGCTTATTCTGCCATAATTCCCCCCCAGTCCTTTTTTGAGAGGAGGGACGGGGTGTAACTCTAGTTAGCTCTATGATTACGAGAGAGATGAAGTAGACGCGAAATGGAAATGGTATAGAACAAAACAGTCTCTTCTTGAATGTGATGTGATACGAATGTGAATGTGTGTATTGGCTACGGCTACATAGGGGAGGAAGAAAAACTCAGGACCTCCCCCCTTAGTGACAGAAAGTACTGAGGTAAGTCAGTATAAGTTTAGGCAAATTAGTATAAGCTTAGGATATCTTTTGTTGAATTTATTTTGGCATCATACATGAAGGCCCGATGTTTTCTTGCTCCCCGACATCAACTGGTTACGCCTTTAAGCAAGCAATGAATCAGTCAAATTTACTATGGGGGTATATAATCTATCTTTTGGAATGTGGAAGCAGTCCATTCCTTCTTGTACCTAATCCGTTTCTCGTTTCCAATTCTCAAGGCCCATATGTACAGGATCGCAAGACGGAACTGAGACGGGATATATATCTAAAGTTGGTGTTGTACAGATGTCAGATGCGACAAGCGCTCAGTATGGCCAGCATACTCTTCTGGAGCCTGGTTTGACTACACGAGAACGTAGAGAGCGCAAATCTGTGAAGTCGTTAGTTATGTTTGGCATGATTGTTGGGTATTGCGACATACCATGCTGAGACCGAGAACCATTGATGCCCAGAAACAGACATTGTTCAAGGTCTTCTTACCACGGACCCATCGTGTACGCTGGAGCATCACGATGGGTAGTTGAAGCATCTGACACACGAAGCCGTAACCACGGAGCTTCTTGGTAATACACGCCATGACGATCTCATGGCCAATGGCAGAGATGAGGAATGTCAACGCCGTGGCAGCTCCTCTGCCAATGCGAGGTCGAGAGGCACTGTAGACGTGGCGACGAAGGAAGCTGTACACGGGGATATTCCACTCGCGTGAGAACTCCATCCAGTCGGTTGAGTTCCACCAGTCGGAGTAGAAATGTCTATCGGCAAAGCAAGTGATTTCCGCGAATGCGCCGAGGACGTATTCGAAGATGACGAGGAAAACGAGGAGGAACGTGAGCATGAAAGGGAAGAGAAGCCATGAGATGGTCTCGGCTAGAATGAGGGACTTCTCCGATAGCGATGATACTGCGGGGACTGCATCGAGGCGCTCTGAGGCATCGATAAGAACGGGAAGGATGAAATCTTCCGAGATGATTGTTAAAAGAAAGATGCAACCAAAAGTGGCGATGATCTTGGAAATGAGAGAAATCCAGTTGATACGGGACATTCGAGGGTATTCGATCTCATAGCAGAGTGTTGGACAGAGGAGATAGTCCATGTAGTTGGACCAGGTGAGGTTGTTCGGGTATGTGACGTTGCCAATGGGACTCGTAAGCTCACGGGCAAGATCCTCTCGCAACTCGTCGACTTCGTCGGCACTGTTGTTACCGCTCGTGACAGGACTGGGCACCAAAAGGTTGTTGTTAACAGCATCCACCTCCTCGTTGCTCTTGTTTCCGTCACTGTTGCTTCGCTTGGCTTGCTGTCGCTTCTTGCTACGGTTTCGGCGACGCTTCTTGCTACCAGAAGTAGTAGCCTCGCCATTAGCGACAATATCGGGGGATGGATATTGGTAGGCTGGTCGTCGATCAAGGGGCGAGAAGGGATTGTCGAGAGCGTACAATCGTTTCTCCGTCTGCGACAAATGTCCATTGTAGAAGGCGTACGAGTGCATCTTCATTAGTAGTACCATGGTATGTAAGAGAAAGAACACCTGCGACGTCCAGGTCCATTCAAAGTGAAAGGGCACAATGATCCATAGCGAAAGCCAAGCGACCTGGTAGATGCTCTGAATAGCTATTCCCCCCTTGTCCCAGGACAGAAAGCTACCGGGCTTTGCACTTCGAGCTGCACGGTTCAATGGCAGACTGACAGCTGTCGTTGCGACCATAAGGAAATCAGCAATGGCAAGATGCCAGAGCTTTACTGTGAAGAGACCCCATATTTGCACTCTTAGAGGAAATCCAGTATCTTTGAGGTTGCGTAGCATTGAGGTGATGCCCATGATGGCAAGACCAATCCAGAAGAGGTTGAAGAAGCCATGGAAGTCTCGGTAATCGCTTTCGGGGTCAAAATGACTAACGCGTGAGGCGAACTCGATCGTGGGAAATATACGGCGGCGTTGCTCTGCGCGGGTTTGCTTTCGAACAGTCGAGAGAACTTTAACGGATGGAGGCGCATTCTCTGGGACGGGCGTGGAACGACCGCTGGACACAATTAGCTTGGGCGCATGGTTTCGAGGCTCCATCATACCTAGTCAATCCACTGGCAGTTCCTGTACTCAAATTATCGGGCATGAGATGTCCCTCGTTATCTTCTGATGTTGACATGCGAAGAACCTCCGAGACTTGTGAATGTTTGGGTTTGCGCGGTCGAGGGCGTATAACGTGGTCATGATCGCCCGCGTGACCATTCCCATTGGGAAGAGGATCTATTGAAGAGCTCATATTCGTAAATGTGTATAGTATATGTTCGTGTGGTGGGCGTAGATGTCGTGGTAAATGTTGAGGATTTGTTCGACCTCGCCTTGGAGAGGAAGATAGAGTTTCGGCAGTGGTGTCAACTCGGCGCCCGCGGAAGAAGACGAAACAATCGGAAACAAAAAGTGACAAAAATAGACGAGAACGTGAGACACGACAGCAAATGTGCCCTAAAGTGGTCTTGTCTTGAATGTCGTGGCTTCGTTGTCGTCAAGACGATATGATAAGGCAAAGGAGGGGAGATAAGAAGAGGAGGGAGAGAATGCAGGTATAACCCTGAAATAAGGAGTGGAAGGAAGGAACGACGTAGTAGAAGCCAAGAGCTCTCGGCTTGTTTCTTGTTTTCTTGTGGATGTAAGGTACCGTACCTACTCAAATATGGTGCTACTTGACGGAGGGATTCAGTGGTCAGCGGCGGTTCTGGTCTGGGGGCTAAATTGATGACAGCTCTTTTAGCCTTTTTTTAGGTGAATTGAACCCCTAACTCCAACTACAATAAAATGACGTAACATCCAATCCATTCAATGGATCATCGGGTCCTTCGTCATTTCTGTACGCACTCAACCTCGACCCTTTCTTACTCAATCTTACAGGCTGCAACTACAATACGATTATACGTGCATTATACTCGTATAGCAATCATTTCTAGGCAGAATTGTTCAATGCGAATACTCTTATTGTTTAGTTGCTTGCTCGACCAATTGAATCAACCCCTACTAGGCTGACCTGGCCTGACTAGAGACTGTCCGCGTATCACGCACGTATCGTCATCCACCCTCGTTTTTCGCATTCGCGAGCCGTATCCTTTCTCGTTGTTCGCCAAGAGCTCGGTTCTAGGGTCGACGTTGACTGGTCTGACATTTGTTTTGGATCATGATCCTTGTACTGGGGTTCGCCCCTTGTTCGGATGTTTCTTCGTTTATCCATAATGTCAATGTTTTCCCTCTGCTCTGAGATATCAAGATGGAGATGAGACTGGCTTACGGCATCACAGCGTCAACTCACCAACCATCGTGGACTTGCACCTTTTCACAGCTGCCATTCTTCAGAACGTTCATTGCTCGGAACAGGATCATGGCTAGGCTGAGCATAGCCACAATATACTTACTTTTCCGCTCTGTGGAGAGGTTCCTCGCCTCCAAATGATCAGGCCAAATTTTGATGCGCATACTAAGTTAGATGTGCCAGCAGATTCCTGGAACGATATTCCAGAAGTTCTCAGATGGCTGAATAAGATGCCTCGTCTTACCACCACTATGTTGCATTCCATCAGAGTCAAAACTGATCACTTCTCTAGATTACACCTTTGAACCCCATCTCACAGCAAAACCAATGGCACTCCTCACAGTATCGTGACCCTGTGATAAGGTTGTGGGAGGTTAAAAGAGGCTTCAGCCCCCAGCGCACAAAGCTAAAGAACACCAATAAACACATACGGGCAAGATACTCATTGCCCTCACTGTTGCCTAGGAGTATCGTGACCAAAACCTATATACTTTAGCTTTAATCCTCAAAAGTTTACTCTGAAGAGACTTTCCCCCAGATACTATATATACCAGACTGTCGTCTTGTCTCCTTCAGTACCTTCGCATCATCGCTAACCAAACAACCCAACATCACAAAATGAGACTTCGCAGCTCAGGCTGCCTCAGGTGGTCGTATCTACCACAAGAGGTTCGCCGCAACATTCTACATGCAATAGTCGATCAGAGAAATCCTCGCTGGTCTGCTTTGGCCTCGGTGTCTAAAGAGTGGCAAAGCGTCATCGGAATGAGGAATATGGCCAAACTGAACCTTCGGTCATCGTGTCTGGAGGATTTTGAGAAAGCAGTCGTTCGACAGAGAGACCTTGTGAGGCATATCTATCTCAATGTTGAGCTACCCGAATACAAATGCAGGCTTTGCAAACGAGAGTTTGACATCACCACAAGCGAAAAGAATGAACGTCTGATGGCCAACGCGACCCAAAGGCTTTTGGTCATTCTCAGCACGTGGCACACGACAGCACCTTTGACATTGGAACTCAACGCATCGTCTCCTAGTGACTCGAAGCACTGGTTCAAGAACTTTCGTTTCAATGACGAGCACGATGCTCATTATACCCGAGACCAAGTCATCCCCATGGGGGCAACGCATAGTGACTGCCACGACCCCAAGCACGGTTGGGAAAATGGTGTCCAGGCGAAACCTCCACCTTTCAGCGCAAATGAGCGGCTGTTTGGGCCTATCGACTTGCTGCATTATGATCCCGATTCCGACATCGTAAATATTCCCAAGGTCAACGCAGTTACCCGTTTCATGATCCGTCGGCAATTCCACCATATACTTGAGTCTACGGGGTTTGAATATATTCTGTCAAGATTCAGCCGCCTAGCGGATTTCGTTTACGAACCATGGCCTCAAGAATATATAAGTATCTTTCATGGTCCATGGGAACCATTGATTAGTACACGTACGCCAGAGACTCTCAAAAGATTGACTATATTTCAGGATTCCAAACACTATCTCACAAAGAGTGCCCCTCAAAAACCAGATTTAAGCATCATTCCCCCCCAATATACGTCGTTGCTCAAACCCGCTGACAACACTACGAGCATCGCTCAGACAAGTCTGAGACTAAATGAACTCTACGTCTCATTCTTTATCGATGCTATGAACTTCTTCGAGGCATGTGAGGAAGAATGGACATGGGATCACCTTAAATCTCTCTCCCTAACATCCAGTCGTCTCTTCCAGAGTATAAAGGGACAGAAGCATCGCATCGATGACCTTCTTATTGCCGCAGCAAAGCTCGTACTGCGAATGCCGAACCTGACTACCATGGTACTCTGGAATGGAGGGACAGGGAGAGCTTGTGCATTCATGTACACCAGGACGGAGCACTATGCCCATATTACCTGGCGAGGAACTTGGGACTTGGAGATCAGCCGACAAGTCTTGGAGGCATGGGAGGATGTTGCCAAGCTTCATTCGGTGAAGCTCAAAGTCAGGCATGAGCGACTTCACGAGACCATCAGATCTCATGGAGACGCCATCTTCCATCTCAACTTGCCTTGCCAGGTTATCGAGCCTACGTCGCTCTGGCAAATCCGGATGGAGGACGCGCAGGGACTTTAAAGTGTGTCCTTAGTGCTGGACAATGGAAGTTTGCTCTGCATTTGGGTAGATGTTGATCCTAGGTTAGAGGAGACGCCTTTCCTAAGGGTGGAAGAAAACATCTAGCACCTTGGATAAACGTAATATCCTGGTCTACTCAACTTGCCTCAATCTCCATTTTATTAGGATAGTCGTCCTAAGTTTTGTCTCTTCTGGCCAGTTTTATGGGATATTTAGCACTTGTGGCAGTGTCACAGTATCAAGATATGGTCTCAAAATCATCAATTTAACTACTTTCGTTAACCCTTTCTTTCGTCCCTTAACTGTTCATTCTTGTTTCAAAATTGTAGCAAGATGTTTTCCTCTTTCCGTGTTCATGCCAAGAATATCCTTTCACCTATTCCCAATCGCTTCATACCTAAGCACAATTCGCGTATCACATTTCTACCTTTGTCCTTCCTGCTTACTTTAAGCCGAGAGCCTCCAATGCTTCGTAGTGTTTCTGAAATCCTACCATCTTGTCGATTACCGCTTCATTCTTTTGTGCGTCCATAAACTTTTGCAGGGATCGCAGCGCCATATTGGCGCACTGTCGGCGCTCGATTTCATTCGACGCTTTCTCCCCTTTCCAGATTGACCTTTCGAAAGAGGCCATAGAGAGCACGTAGCCTGGTGAACTGGCTGGGTCTTCCTCGTTTGTTTGTATACCCACTAAGCGAAGCATGGACGGTTGGATTTCTTTAAAGGCCGTAGCCTGCTCGGGCGACGCTTGGGCGGGATTCAGGAGATGCATAGAATTTCGGGAGCCTAAAGCCTCCCAGCGCTTGATTATGTCCCGGTCTCTGGTGAAATTTTTGATGGCCTACATCAAATATTTGTTCACGATATGGACGTTAAGTCGAACACGCGGGTCCGATAGCTGTTGCTGGAGCATGTCCCATGCGATATGAGACGGCTGAGGTCGATCTCGCAGAGTGCTCAAGACTGCTTTGAGTGTGATAAGTGAGTTTCTAGGATCGCTGGTCGCTGCTTTCTGGATCATCTCTAATCGTTCTGGATCGATTTGTAGAGCTACGTTTTCTGGCGGCATTCCGTAAAAGAATGGGAGCCGGTCAAGCCCCTCGCGGAGCTTGACCCTTCCCAGGAGGCCTAGGTACTTAATCCAAGCAATGCGACACTCCTTCTTATATATAAAGTATGGATTTTGCTCTGATGTCTGCTCTTGGGTGATAGTAGCCGGTAATAGAGCTTGCTCTAGTTTTACTAAAGGAGGAGGCATACCTGCTAGTCTATTTATTAGTTTAGGTACAAAAGAAAGCATTTAACTTACCTGTCGGTGGCGAGGCGCCAGTTAAGTCAATGGATTTGGAAGACATGTTGAAGTCTTATTGTGATGTCTTCGAAAGATGCTTGTGGTTGTTGAGTTGATGCTAATTCGTAGGGTGTTAAGAGGTATGGTTAAGATAATGTAAGGTATAGAGGAAGAAAGAAAAAAAGAAGTGGAAAAGCAAGTAAACACGGCCTTTTAAAATATCCCTATCCTAAACTTATCCTAAGACCTCTCTGCCTAAGGCATATAACACAGTCCTTAGGCAACTTGAGAGGTGTTAATGCACTTGCCTATAACTGCAATTATTCACTGTCATCCGAGACTAACTGTAAATTAAATCACTTATAGGATACACACTCGGCTGTTATTTCCTTGGCGCCCTTCGTAATCTCCTTGAATCGCTTATCAGTGGTAACTTGTCGACCAAAATACTTCACATCTTCGGATGATACATCCCCAACCGAGACATTCTTAATGAGTTTACGGTCTATCTCGTTCATTCCCAGGCCATGTGTCTGCTGCTAGGTCAAGTCTTCCAACATGTCTTCAGAGCACAAATTTCTGGCCCCAGGCCTTTGTCGCTTCTGTCAGGAGTCCTTGTCTAATCTGATGGGAATTTCGTAGAAAAGATCGGCTAACCCAGTCTCTCTGTCACGAGCAGAAGAGGATCTTGGTGAGTCGCTTACAGCCTCTTCGACATATCGGAGCCAGTGCTTCGAGATATAATATGTTGACCAAGCCGCTCAGCTTCAGAGTTGTCATTTCATCCATTCAGGCGTTGTTTGCGTCTTACCACGCATTTATATGTCAAGTTTCGTCTGTTCCACCATCATCTCCTTTTTGATGATAGGATGAAAGACCCATCGTTCAATTTGAGGAAGTAGACTCTCCTGATTGAAGCCTCAATGGCCGAGTTCCCGGTTGAGGTCACCGGCTTGCAGCATTGTTCTCTCGCAGATCATGTGTGATCATTAGACGATAAGCAAGGAGTTGAGTAATCATTATCACCTTATTCAAAGTTAACACCTAAGCTTAAACCCCAACTCGAGAGGCCCATTAGTACAGAACCTCTCTTATCCTAGGTGACAAAGGGAAATCGATCTAAAGTGTCAGTACTGCGTTCTGGCACTGATTCAGCAGTGCTGAATCTAGCTGACGTTCTCGACCCCTGTATTATAAGCAGCACCATCCGGTATGGTGTAGTGGCTAACATTTCGCGCTCTCATAACCTGAGAGATCAAGTACCGCGGAGCCCAGGGTTCGATTCCCTGTACCGGAGTCTCTTTTTAATGCTTTTGTAAGCTGGTCTTGATGGGATGATAGATGGTGTTAAAGACCAGAGTCATGATCCTTTTTTGTTAATAGACAACAATGCTGGTATACGTGGTCGAAGGAACTAGTAAGGGCCTGCCTGGTTGGCAATTAGTGTTAGTAGGCTATTGAGAAACAGGCCGAGGAGTATGTATGTCATGGGCAAGAGATGAAAGAGAGACTCCGTATGTGAATCTCGCGATTGCTTACGAGGGGACCTGCCATTCTGAGCAGTGATGTTTGAAGTTGATCAATTGAGTTCTTGCCCCACTACAAATGAACTACAAACTCAACTCCTCCATCAACTTCATCACCATGTCTGTCTGAGTGGACTGAGAGTTTTGGTAGCACTCCTCTATATCATTCTGCAATTTCGTCCAGTCGCGAACATGGCATTTGCCTTTGCAGACAGCTGGCAAGCGATATGTAAAATGTATCCAAGACGACCTGGAGAGCCTCGCCTGCATGTGCTCCCTTGTCTACGCGAAAGTCATCCTGGATACTGCGCTTTACTCTGTCTTTTAACTGAGAGTTCTGCCCAAGAGGAGCCCGTCTCTTGGCTCACTCCTCACAAGGCCCGGCATTCAGCACGCAGTATGGACAATACTAGTCTTGCTGTGTCAACAACAGCAAGCAGAGTCTGCGCTGCACGACAACCAAGCCGCAGAATGTGGTGTTCCTCAGTTAGCATGAAAAGCCAAATCCCCGCATACATGAAGTTGCTTTTAAACTTATAACATGTACGTCTATCAAAGTCAGCGTCAGTAAAGGGCAACATATCTATAACCTCAGACAAACTGTGCCTGTGCTTCTTTAACGCCCACCTGTTCATTCGTCCTATCCTTTCTTCGCTCCTTATCCCTTATGAGCGACGTCTTGCCAATGATCCATTTTCTACAAGCAAGTGCATAGACCAAATCAGGCCTGTCTGTGGCCAGATGTCTTTTGCTTTCTGAGCATATTAGACAATATTTACCTCAAGATCTACATTACCTCCACCCTTGTTATTTTATCACAGTCTTTCACATTCATGACCAAAAAGATATCTCTTAGAAAAGCAAAAGATATAGGTCTCCGGTACAGGGAATCGAACCCTGGGCTCCGCGGAACTAGTCCCTCAAGTTATGAGAGCGCGAAATGTTAGCCACTACACCATACCGGATGATGATTCGTTGGAGTTTGGGCCTCCAATCGAGCGACAACAGCACGGTGGTGTTGAGCTGGGAGTAACGACTCAGTTTCGTCCTCGTTGGCCGGTCACGCATGTCTCTGCTAGACTCAAGTGTAACATACAGTTCTCTATTATCACACGCGATGTCACATGTGGGTGGATATGTGGCAGTTGCAGGTTGCCAGCACGCCCATGTTGGTGACCTGCATAAGTTGTTGATCAGATATTGGTCAGGAGAGGTTGTCGCATCATGATACCGGAGGGTATGTAAAATAAAGTAGAAGATTGGGAGCCAGTTCCATATCCATCGACGGTGTTTTCATATTCCGATTCAAATCGCCGTTTGTGTTTGTTGCATCCAGAACCGCTTGGAACTGGGTACTTCACAGCTCTTGTGAGCATGGACAGACAAAAGGGCTTGTGCTCTGAATCTGACTGCTTTCTATTCTTACTGTATCTCTTATTATCAACTGTTATATCGTGCTCGGAGGAGGTCCCCCGGCCATGAACGATATCGGCAACTCACAGCATGTCAGTCTTTGATCTGCAGAGCCTTGTTTCCTTGCGGCCATTCAAATCAAACACATGTTCATCTAGTATTAGCTGTAAGGGTTCGAAAATCGGTATAACAAGTTGTCCCTCTTGATTGTGTGATCGGTAATCAACGAGTGGCAACGGGGAGGTCTGCCAGGTAAGTTTCTCAGTAAGCTCAACATAACACGAAAGAATATATAATGATAGATAACGGCAAGTGACATTATTAGAAGTATTACATATACACCGCATTTATAGCCTGTTGGAAAAGGTCAATGTTGGTTATATAGGTAGGTTAGCGTAGGAGAGGAGACAGAACAATACTGGGTGGGATAAGAGCTTGGCTTCAAGATGTAGTAACAGCAACGCCAGACCAGAGAACTATATACAACCAACCGCAACCACTATCGCAAAATATTAATTCGTCAATAACGTTTTAACTCTTCTATTAGTAGTTATTACTACTATATAATTTGCCCACACCCGCCGTATCACAAGCCCTCTTATTCTCGCTTCCTTAAGTTCATCCATCATATCAAGTTTAATCAGCACAGCGCTGCGACGATCCCATCTCTTGCCTCTGCTTTATTATACCAACATTAAAAATTAGATATTATTAAATACAAGCAGCCAGTAACAAGCCAGGCAAACAGCAACAGTCTGCTAATCATTCCAGCACCCAACCCACCAGATCTCCGTCCCCATCGATCACAGCAATCAGCAAAAAGAAATCATTAACGCCAGCAAAAGATATAAACTCCGGTACAGGGAATCGAACCCTGGGCAGGGACCTGGGCTCCGCGGTACTGATCCCTCAGCTTAGAAGATGAGAGCGCGAAATGTTAGCCACTACACCATACCGGACGATCAGGCTTGTGATTGTTGAGGTGGGCAGCGCTACCGCGACTCATTCACACAGCACCAACAACAACGCCGAGACATACACAGACACAATTGCACACGACAGACACATATACTTTGTTACCCTCCGTCTATAGTAATAATACATGCCTCTGTTCCAAGACGATGCTTTGCTGCCCTGCTATAGTTTATCGGCATTTTCACTTCCAACTCCCCCTATTGACGGTTCCTTCGCCATGACAACATTGAAAAAGAAAAAGCGTAGCAGATACATGAATAACTCCCTTCGTCTTCCCGTGAGCCTATGCGGCTCTAAAGTCTTGCGTTTGATATTACAAGCGTTGCTAGTTGACGCTATCCACCTCCCTTACTCCATCATACCATCAGCAATCGCTAACCTTTGCTTCGCCGTCTTGGCTCGCTTTGTCCCCTTTTTGCCCTTCTTGCCTTTGCTGTCGCTGTCACCAGGTGTGGCTGCGGTAGCTGGTGTTGCTGTACCAGATAGGCCCTTGGATCCATCGTCAAAGTTACCCTCGCCTGACATATGTTAGCTTGGAATCAAAGATTCGTTTGGACTTTATGCTCACCTTCATGATACATCTCATCCAGACTGGCCGCGTTCTCGGCCTTACGTCGCTTGCCACCCTTCTTCTTTTGCTGCTTCTCAAGCTCGCCTGATTCAAGAAGCTCCTTTTCGCGGCGCTCGATCATCTCAGCTTGCTCGTCGTCGGCAAGCCACATAGCAATGTCACGGTTGCGGTTCTCGGGAGCACGACGGCCAGAGAAATCAACGCTTGCACCGCCACCCTGGATGACGACACGTTGAACCTCTTCCTTCTGCATCGCTCTCTTACGGATGCGCTCTTCGATTGTGCCGCGCGTGATGAGACGATAGACTGTGACCTGCTTGGTCTGACCCAGACGATGTGCTCGATCCATGGCTTGCGAATCGATTGTAGGGTTCCAATCGGAGTCGTAGAAGATGACAGTATCGGCGGATGTAAGGTTGATACCGAGACCACCAGCACGTGTAGACAGAAGGAAAATGAAGATCTCGGGGCGGGTCTGGAAGTCGTGCACAGTGTCTCGTCGATCTTCCAGTTTAGTAGAACCATCCAGTCGGCAGTATTTGTAGTTGCGGTAAGTCAAGTACTCTTCCATCATGTCGA